CTCGCTTGGAAACAATTTCAGGTCCTTTTACATGCTTCTGAATTTCTAAGATCACACCAAAGTAAATGATTTTAAGTTTACTCCATGCCTCCGTGAGTTTGATGAGACGGTCTGTGAGTCACACAGCACTGCACCTACAATAAATATTTTCCTAATATGAATATATAATATTCAAATACTTAAGCATAAATATATTCCGCTTTGACGCTGTGAATGATACAATGTATTCCTTATGTAATACAATTTGACGGAATGTCTCCCTTTTGTCTGCAGCTCAAGGACCTGCGGGACAAGTACTCTCAGTGTGGGGACATGCTCCGCGAGGCCCGAGAGGACATTAAGAACTTGCGTAATAAGAGCCTTCCCAACAGCACGGTGCAGCGCTACACCGCGCTGGCCTCTGTGCTCCCCATGGACTCGCTGGCAGCCGAGATAGAGGGCACCTTCCGCAAAGGCCGGGACAACCCGGCACCCTCAGAGTACAAGTGAGTGCGTGGTTTTGTTTGTATGTGCTGCTGCGACTGCGTTAAGAATCATCTGTGGAAGCTTTGGGGATGAGGACACTTGCTATTTGCAACCTGTTTTGAGTGGTTAGAATCCAAGCTGACTACGACTCCTATGTGTACTCAAAAAAAAAGATTTTCTCCTCTAAACCTTTATCTGAAAATTTTATTATATATATTTATCATAATCTTTGTAAATTTGGTTATTGTTTGTTTTATTGTTAGCAAACACAATACATGTATGGCTCCGTTTAGTTCAAATGCTGATTACGTCTGATCAAACCACACCCGAGCTGTTTTATGTATGTAAATTATGTATTATTAATTATTATTATATTTGGCAAGACTGTGACTTAAAATTACATAATTGTTTATAACTTTGCGGTGACTATTTATTCAGGATATTTTATTGTTTCTAAATGTATAATTGGAACTGATCAAATTATGTTTGTATGTTGAATTATAAACCAAAGTTTCATACTTTCCTCCACTGCACACCAAACATTCAAAAGACTCCATTTGTGTGCATTCATCATCTGTTAACGCTAGCGTACAAATAAATAGACATTAATCTGCAGATTCTCCAAAGATCCACTGCAACAAATATATGGCGATATTTTAAAAGACAGGTTTAAATGATTTTATGCCGGGTTCCAAAAGGGTTGAAAACGTACGTCCCGTCCCTCCTGTTTCTGGTGTCGTCTGGGTAACTACACGGAGGGATTGACAGGGAAGATTTATGCTTCATCTGTCTTTTGTGAGCTGGGATTTGGTAGTTTTTAATTGATAGATGCTACATTACTATTGAGTATTTTTAGCTCATAAATAACTCACACAAATTGCCTACTTCATTTTTGAAAATCCAGTGATTGCATTTCGGGTTGTATGTTTTTCTATTTTACAACGGGGTCTGCAACCAAGGCGAATAATGTAAATTGCGCTGTCAGCTATTAATGTCCACTCACGACCCGGTTCTCCCTGCAGGAACCATCCCTGGCGTGTGTTTGAAACGGTGAAGGTGGCGAACAAGGGTGTGAGGCTGCGGTCCCGGTGCCACTCCCCGGGGCTGCCGGGCTCCAGCCCGGCGTCAACTCAATCCAGTTGCACGAGCACCCCCCGAACCAGCTACTATGGCTCCGACAATGCTAGCTTTACTCTGGAGGACAAGCCCAGCTTCAATAATGCTCAGAAAGAAGACAACAGGTGTGTTTGAGTGTGTTTGCATCCTTTCACATACCGTACGTGTACTATAATAACAAAAGGAAAATTTCTATTTTTGGACAATTTTACAGGCAAACCTTGATGATTGTTGATGCTGATTAACCCATTAAAGAATTGACGCAGCTAAAACATTGTCAAATCTATTCAACCACAGACTCAGTGGGCCGAAGCGTCTGGGCCAGCCGGGCACACCAGGGGGCCAGGACCTGGAAGCCGCCTTGCACAGCCTGTCAGCCCGCCAGCAGAACCATTCCTCTGAGCGGCCTTTCTTCGAAGTCGAGCGCGAGCGTAAACTCCACGCCTTGGCCGCAGACTGCGAAGAGGGCGAGGGCTCCAGTGGCTTCCTGACACCGAATGACAGCCTGGTCTCCAGCCCGGCAGCATCAACGGGCACCAACTACTCCAACGGCAGCTCGCGGCCCTCCTGTGGCTCCTCAGGGGGATCCAGGTCCTACCTGCCCGACCGCCTGCAGATCGTCAAACCTCTGGAAGGTAGTAATTTTGCACTGTATAAATACTAAGTAACTGCATCGTATTGGGACGTTCTGTAACCTGAGTTTCCTCCCCGACCCGTCAGGCTCTGTGACTCTGCACCAGTGGCAGCAGTTGGCCAAACCCAACCTGGGAGGCATCCTGCATCCGCGTCCGGGCGTCCTGACTAAAGACTTCAGGGAGCTCGAGGTCGACATACAGCACGTCTACAGTCTGAACGACCTGGAGGAGGACGAGCCCGACCTGTCTGGAGCACATGGCATCGGTAGGAGACACACTGAACTCACACTACACACTTCCAGCTTCAACCTTTTCTTCACCTCGCTAAGTCTCCTCTAAAATCCACTTTTTCAGCTTTTTCCTCTCCTTAGTGTTTCTCCTAATAGCAGCTTCATTGGGTCTCGTAATTGAATGTAACTTTCTCTACGTGTAGTTTACTGTGCGTTTTCTCCGTCCATGATCTTGCAGTCTCTCCACCTGGTCCCAAGCTCCCTCAGACCTCTCCCACGCATACCATTAACACCTGCCAAGTCCTGCAACCCTCCCTTCTCATCCCATCCTTATCCACTAGGTAAGAATGGACATGCCGTGTTGTAGCATGCTGTTTTGTTAACTGATATTGTTGTGATGTATATGAGTTACTGCAAACTTTGGGGCACTCCTGAAAGAAAGTGTGGAGTTGGTTAATTTATGCACACGTTTGGATGTTCCAGATACTTTTTCTCTCCTCTTAGTCTTCTGCTCTTCACTCTTTACAGTGGCAGGAAACGTCTGTCGAGGCTCTTCCTCCAACTCTAGTAGGCTCCTACGGGGCAAAGTAAGACTTGAGGGTTATGGATAGACTGTGAATGCTGGATTTTATTATTAATGACGGGAGGCACGGGACTAATGTTCATTTAACTATGCAACACCGCGGTTAATCAATTCAGAAGAGGGTCGTAGAAGAACATTCGCTGTGACACAACTGCAAAGATCATCACAGCTAAAGGGAGAATCCTGCATTGTGCTTCCCTCCCCTCCTAACCACACTAACTTCTTTGTAATCCCCCACATTCTCTCGGCTTAGTATGTTTTGTGTCTCTTAACCTTTCTAGGTTTTCATCTTGGCAAACCACCAGATCCTGTTTCATCACCGCTGCCCCGCCAACATCTTGTTCATTCATCTTACAGCAATGATAGACTGACACTAACAACAAATTAACCAACTCAAACTGTTAACATTTCATTGTTGCTTTTTCACTATTTGCCAATGAGCCTGCATGTTTGTTTGCGAAGAAACCGCTTTGTTTTATTCAGTTCTGTGTTCTTATTTTTGATTATTGTACTTTCTTTCTACTAGCAGCCTGCAGTCTTTCGGCCTGCCATCTTGTCGGAACAGTGAGCTCGTGAACACCTCATCGGCATCCAACCAAGGAGGCCGGCCCCCCGTCACCCCCACCTCAAATGTAAACACTTCATCACTGGGACTTGTGCAGCTGCTGCAAGAGCGTGGCATCTCAGCCTCTCCCAGTCCACACCACAGCCATAGGGATACACATGCAACCTCCAAAATAAAAGACAATTGTGGGGTCCCCCCACTGGAAAAAGAGGGTCAAAGGTACATTTTTAGTTTAAACCTGGTTGAGAAGCTCCAAGGTCTGGGGCTGCACAGAGTGGCAGCCTGGGGGATGAAGGGCCGCATGGAAGAGAGAAGCAGTCGGAAAGTCCGATGAGGACTTTTCATCCGTCTGTAGTGACTTGACCTCCAGCCTGTGCAGTGCGTCGTGTCCTGGAAGCGTACGCCACACAATGCGCTAGAGCTCTTTAAGTTGGTAGTGGCCAGTGATATTCTTTTTTAAGAATGTGATGTCAGTAGGTGTGTGTTTTTGTGTGTGTGAGTGACATCTTCATATTATGAAAACCACCTAATTATCAACAGTTTGTTTGACTTTTTACACAAAAAAGAAACATTTTTATACTGTGTTATTGTCCTTTCTCACATTTTCCCTGCCGCTTGTTTAAAAAAACAACAACAACTGCAGTTTCCCAAGCAGAACATCAGTTATGTGTATATAATAATGTTGTCTTTTAGGGACTAGTAAGTAAATTATTGTTAGTTGGAACCACAAACTGAACCGATGCTGACACACTGAAGAACTTTCAAATGCACTAAAATGCACTCTAGTCTTGCTGCTTATTAGCTGCTTAATTGAGATTATCATTTTGTAAATAAGATTGTCAGTTATACTAAATGAAACACGCTGATCTAGGAGCGGAGCGAGGACGGACTACGCAGGACTGAATGCGAATGGTGTTGACATCCTGCAGACATCTACCCTGAAGATCCCCTCTTTCAGGGAGAACGGGGGGTTTTGGATGTAGTTCTGTATTTTGTCATGCGCAAAACCTCACCAAGGGAAATTGGGTTTGCCATTTTGCATCAAAGAAAATGAACATGCAACGTGAGTTCTCTGCGCTGTCAAGGGGAGTCCGTATTCAAGGACGAGCAGAAGATTGGTCCTAATAATTTCAACGGCATGTTTCCTTAAAATTTGTCGGAAAAATCAACTGTAGCAAAAAGGCATAGGATACTGTGGATTAAAAAGGGAATATATCATAAACACAGGTTTATTCATTTGTGTTTTAAATCAACCAAACCGCTCTGTTCTGTCTTCACTGCTGTGTATCCCAGTGTGTGTTTAAATTGTACCACCTGTGAATAAAACTTTGCATTTCCATCCATCCGTCTTAAATGTCTCATTTCCCTCATGGCAGCGATGAAGAAGAATATTACTACTATCATGGTTCTGCAGAACAGTTTTATTCATAGAGTTGCAGTGGAAGTAGAACATGGGCTTTCAATAAAACGTGACCAAAAAGCAGGAATCCTGAGCTGTCAGCTCGCTGTGGCTCATTCTGCGTCCCGGCGTCCAAAGTCCACCCAGCCCTGGTAGTCCCGATCTGACATGCACTCAGAGTTCCTCATCTCTGTGAACAAACCACTCCTATGAACACGAACCACACACAAGTGTTCAGCATCTCCTTGGGTCTCCGCCGCCTCCATCACTCGCTGCACTTTCACGTCAACAATCGCGGCCTTTTCACACCCAACCCCACATCATACCTGAGATTGCTTGCATTATTTGTTTTGTCATGATCTCCCGCTCGTCCTCCGATAGGTGTGCCCGTCTCTCCGCGCGTGCTGAAGGGGCCCGAGGCACCGTCTCCATTCCGCCCGCGGTGCCTCTCGCCTTCTCCGTCTTGGCTAGAAGCTGCTGCAGGAGAGGAGTGCCTTCGGCGTCTCCAGCTGCAGAGGGTGGCAGCAGTGCAACCAGCAGTGCAAACACCACAATAACTTTCCTTGACATGTCTATGTACAAAAAGAGACAAAAACAGTTATATTTACTTCCAGGGACAAAATGATTGTATCACAGATCAAGTAAAAGAAGTTACCGTTTACCTGTGAAAACAGTTTTTCAAATATGTCTTCAACAAAATCCAACAAGTGCTTCTGGTGCTCAAGGAGCAGACCGGCTCCTTTTATACCACAAGTTCTGTGTCGATTACGACTTGGAGTCAAAGACAGATTGGTGACAGTGTTCGCCGATTGATTTGTGGACAGATGCATTGGGAGGATGTGCGTAGAGGAAACCATCCACCACCACTTCCACAAATCCATTATCATGCGTTTCACTTTACTGGGAAGGCCTGTTTTGCAGTGCAATAACAGTAAAACGAGTCAATGTGTTTACAGAAGAAATCCAATGCTCCCATAGCTCCTTTTTTTTTTACCTATACGGAGGATCTGATGTTAACATGTAGCCGCTGAAAACAGGGGTTTCTGGTGTCCTCAACTTGCTGCATTTTGAGACTTAGAGGATATTTTTGCTCAAAACGTTTGGAAAGAAAGACAAACACATTTATTACGTACTATTGTTGTGTATCATACAAGTACCCAATAGAGTTTTCCACATTTCATTGTAAGTAACGCTGGATAATGAGTTTCAAAATCGACACAAAATGAAATATGTTGGATTTATTGTTTTTTTGGCGGTATTGATTCCCATCACCGGGTCACGTTGGACTTTCCAGGTGACGTACACTCGACCCTTTTAGTGAAAATACTACGCCGTGTTTGACATGCTGTATAGATTTCTTTACTCTGTTATTGTGTCTGCAAACAAAACCTCAGGATGTAAATCTAAGCAGCCGTACGGTAAATTAAACTGACATATCATCCTACCAAATAGTTGGAAAAGGGTTTGTGAGCGTCGTTTGATATCAGTCACTGTTTCTAATAATCCAGAAGGCAGGATACACCCACTGAAATATGCTAAAGGTTCCAGACAACACATACTTTAAACAGCTCTTGCCTTTGCCTTTGATTCCACATCATCAGGCGTGGCTGCAGCAGATACTTATCGCTGGTATGTTATGCTGAGTAAATTACTTAGTGGGAATACATTAATGACCGTGTAATAGACATTGTAAAACAGTAATCCTTCTAAGTGCTGCTTTAAGCAGCTCATCTCTCTGCCTAAATTCACTTAAAAAGAAAGGTTACACTGACATGTTTTTCATCCTGAGTTGGAAAATCCACAATATTTCAATATTTCTCTCAAAAGTGAAATTGATTAAATGAATAGACATAGCTGAGCATGTGATAAAGTCATTGTTAATCATACAGATGTATCATTTATATTAGCCTAACTAATAGCCTCATTTTCACCTAATAACAATACTGGTCTTGTATCGTCTGTAGTTGTATCCGTAATGGAGTGTTTATCTCATGTAATGGTTTGTAATGAATGTGAAAGTAAAGTTAAAAGTCATGCCGTGCAAAGTGCCAGCTACCCGAGAGGGTGTGTTCCACTGCAGACTGGATTGCTTTTTAGATTCTCATGTCAAACTGTTAAGATCATTTCCTTCTCACCTGATGTTAGATAACCCTTTTGGAAAAGGTGTGGCAGCATTGTTGGGTTTGTGTTCTCTGATCTCAAAGTCATGCTTGGAAAGATGTGTAGTTCTTAAGAAAGACCCACTAATTACCTGGTTTGGCCATGCCCATCTTAGACAAAGATTCAAATATGCACAGTCAGTATTTGGCTCCACGGTGCTCTCGAATCTTGCTGTACTGTAGCAGCTGAAATGCAGTTATAACTGCAATGGAACATGTTATTACTTTCTTAATGGATCTACACGTAGTTGCATATTTGCAATTAGTCAAAAAGAAAGTATACCTCTAACGGGTGTTAATGGAGGACAACTTTAACGTTGTCCTCTGGCCACAAGTGAGAATTATAAGAGCACAATACACACCAAAATTCTTAGAGTTAATTTTCCTGTGTTAGGCAAAAATGTTGAAGTGCAGAGTTGAAATCGCACTGCAAAAAGTTGATTTAACTCTTACAGAGTCAATTGTAGGAAAGAGCCGGAGTGATTATCCAGTGTCAAGATCAGATTAATTTGCGACACTTAGTAGAGTTCGATTAACTCTTTGATAGGTTGGAAATGTAACTTTACAGTGTCACACTTCTTGGTGTTGGGTTTAACTCCTGACCCCTAATTGCTGCCCGGGCTAAAATGTAAAAACTATGGGTTAAAAATGCAATGTAAGTTGCTTTGAAAGAACGTGTCAGCTAAAGGACATGTAATGTATCTAACACTGGGCAGCTTTGTTTTTGACACTTATTCCCAGTTAACACTTTGTTGAGTGTTGATTTAACACTGACAAGATTGGGACAATATAAACACCAGCTTAGAGTTAAAACTGAATCTCACAGAGTCAATTTAACTCTCTGAAATTTGCTGGAGCAAAACAGACTTGCAAAGTCTATATATACATATATATATATATATATATACTGTACTGTATATATACTGTACTGTATATATATATATATATATATATATATATATATATATATATATATATATATATATATATATATATATATATATATATATATATATATACAGTGCAGTATATCTATATGTTTCCTGCAGGCCACCATAATCTGCTGGTGTAACGCTGCAGCAATGGCAGGACAGTGAATGTGAAGTGAGGCTTAGTTTTCTATATATTTTAACTTCAACACTTTGTAAAAGGTGGATTATGTGTCTTATATATCAAAAGGTACGCCTGTGAACACTGTGCATGTTCCAAATACCTGCAGAGTTTCTGCAACAGCTTAACTATACGAAAAACAATTATCTTCATGCCTGGCTGACTGTCAGGCGGCTTATCAGTCACCATCCATCAAGTTGTCTAACTTGACGTTCAAGCTATATTTTACACTGCGCTGACGAGTGAACACACCTTCACACATTATAATGTGATTTGCATGCCACACAGTATTGTGGCGGTGACCAGTTCTTTGCTTCCTTCTTCCAGACTATAAAAATGCCCCGCCGTCTCAGCTGGAGTTACTCCTCGCAGACTCTCCATCCCGAACTCGTCGCCTCTTGGCCATCGCACCCCCACCTGTCATCATGTCCACCGCCGTCATGCGCCAAAGCCGCAGCTTCGGCTCCCGCAGCATCTCCAGCAGCAGCACCACCGCCACCATGCGAGGCGCCAGCAGCAGCGTCAGCAGGGAGATGCAGCTCGTCTCGAGCGGCAACACCAGAGTCTCCGTCGCCGCTCCGTGGAGCCGCGCGCCCAGCGTGCACGGAGGCGCGGGGGGGTTCGGGACTCGCATCTCGGAGTCTTCTCAGGCCTTCTCCTTCGGCGGAGCCGCCGTGGTCAACAATGAGAAGTTTACCATGCAGAACCTCAACGACCGCTTGGCCAGCTACCTGGAGAAGGTAAGCATGCTTTCTTTCTTCGACCTTTGTTGTGATGATGGAAAATGTTTTTTGTTTTGTTTTGCCTGCACGATCAAATAGTTTAATCAGAAATGAATTATGTTGATATTTGATATATGAATGCAAAGTTATCTTCTTTGAGAATATTAGATGTATTACTTTCTTTATTACTTTTTATTACTTTTTTATTTATGCGTTTCTCGCTGATTCATCATACAGTTTGTATGAGAAATTTGGTCTCTTTTCTTCCTACAATCACAGAATGGAACATTTTGAACCTATTCCTGAAATGTCCTCTCATCAATGGTCTCTACTGACACCAAAAATAAGCTGAAACCTCACGGAAAAAAAAAATGTACGGCGTGCCGTGTACCGTAAACTCATCCATAGGGGATTTTTTATGTCACATTTAAAGCATCCAAGATTTTATAAACAGGATCATTTGTGCACTGCATGTATGCAGTGGTTATAATACTTTCAGGATGCTGCACTCTGCAAAAAAGTACATAAAGTACACTTATATATTCTGTTGATTTGACATACTTTGACAACTAAAGAGTTAAGCAAAAAAACATTTGAATAATTGTTCCATCAAATATTTTATGATGAAAATACATGTGATTAGGCAGGTCGATAAATAGCCTTTGTGGTTCACCTGGAACCACAACAAACCAAGGGGAAAAAGTCATTTCCTCCAGGCCTCACCCACGAGTTACGAAGCAGGCCTAAGCGTTTCACACGTATTTCTCAGGTCTAACATGTGTCAGCTTGCGGTTGTGTGTGCAGGTTCGCTCGCTGGAGTCAGCCAACGGGAAGCTGGAGCTGCAGATCAGAGAGTTCTATGAGAAGAGGAATATTCTCTCCAAAGACTTCACCGGCTACTTTGCCACAATCACTAAACTTAAAGCTCAGGTAAATCATTCATATTTTACAGAAATAACAAAACAAACAACATTGTACTACAACACAATAAACTACAGACACAGCCAACAGTTTATGCACAAGCTTTGGACATAAACACCAGTAACTTATTCATGTGTTGTGGCTTTTAGTGAAAAATTTATTTTCTTCTCTTTTAGATCGTAAAGCAATATTCCGAGAATCAAGGTGTGGTCCTGAAGTTGGACAACGCTCAGCTGGCTGCAGACGACTTTGCAATGAAGTAGGTTCACCTTCCTCTGTAGCGTCACGCTAAAATCCAAGTGTACACTCCAATTCTTTTCACTTGGATGAACATCAAACAAAATGAAGACTTTTTTGTCACTTTGTAGTCTGTAAAAAACGTTTAATTTATTTGTTTATTTAATGTCGCTGGGATAACATTTTAGGCACATAGAGAAATGATGTGGCCCATTCATACCTCAATATCAATACTGTATGATTAATTTAGTCATTTTTGATAAATTATCATCAGTACTGAGGACATGATTAATAAAAGTGTAAACACAAATAATAGAACACTCCTTTGAGTTCCGAAAATGACTTTAGTGTACTGTAATGCGGAATTTAATACCAGGTAAAAAAATATAAACGTATTATATTATACAAAGTTTTGATATTAGAAATGTATCTCATCTCATAGCATGATATCAATCCACGTATCATTAGCATCTACATCTAATGGAGCCCACTGGAGACTAGAAATGATTGTTTCCACTCATTTTATTCAATTACAACCTCACACGGCTTTGTTCTGCAGGCTGGAGATGGAGAACAACCTGCGTGCGATGGCGGAGGCTGACGTGTCGCGTATCCGAGGGGTCAGGGACGCACTCACGCTTTCTACCAGTGACCTGGAGCTACAGATAGAAGGTCTGAAAGAAGAGATGGTGTTCATGAAGAACAGCCATCAGGAGGTGAGCTACATACACTTTATGTGCTGTGGTGCCATCTAGTGGTCGTGACAGCAACGACTCAAGAGATAAACACGTCAATGTTACAGGACATGCGTCTGATGAGGATGGAGCGGACTGGCGCGGTTAATGTGGAGGTGGACGGCCCAAAGCCCGTCGACCTGAGTGTGGTCCTGCAGGAGACGAGGGACCAGTATGAAGCTGTGGTGGAGAAGAACAAGGAGGAGCTCGAGATATGGCTCAAGTCTAAGGTGAGACACCAGAGCCGCAGGCCTGAAATGTTACAATGTAGAAACGACGATGCTGATTATAATTTGATTATAATAATATGTGTGTGTTAAACAAAAAAAAAGGTGGACTCTCTCCAGACGAAAATGGTGACGTCTTCACAAGAGGTGAAGACATCTTACACAGAGCTTTCAGAGCTGAAGAGGAGCTACCAGAGTTTGGAGATTACTCATCAAAGCATCGTCACAGAGGTAGGCCTCAGCCGAACTGACTGAAGCACAGGTTCACCATGTGCATGCTCCGCTGTACAACATCACACCCATGTGCATATTTCCTGACGCTCGCCCCTTGCTGGTGGCGTGAGAGACTGCAAAGTCTCATCCAAGTGATAAAAGTCTTGAGCAGCCTGGGTCAATGGGGATTCACAACGCAAACAGTCCTGTGTTAAAACAATGCTTTAAAACCGAGGGCGTAACCATGGTTTAGACATTGGGGGGGTTCAAATGAATACCCTTCCCCATCATTTTGTTTTGTTAAGTGCATTGCCTAGAATTCTATATTTATATATGAACATCGTTTCGAGGACTACATTGACCATTTGAATTCATTCATCTAAAGATATAGTGTCATTTCTCCGAGACAGTGACGCCCCCCCACTTTGTTTTGGTGAGTTCAGCATGTCTGTCGCCCTCCTTGTCGCTCTGTGCTGCCTGCATTGTAACCACATGCCATTTTGTCAGACGAACGGCGACTGACCTTCATGATCTACCATTTAATATTCAGCTTTTACCAGGCTACTCGTTTTATTTGCTTACGCATTTAGCTCGACATCAAGTTACTTACGTACTGTTTAAAAAAACGTGTGTACTTGGCTGCTGGTCCAGTTTTTTACGTAACCTCCATTACTCTACCTCCTAACGTTAACTAACGTTGCTTTCAAGTGATGGGTAACCATGACAACGCAGAGACGCAAGTTGGTTTCAAACAAAATCACACAAGTGTACAATTAGGAGGGGGGATTCACACACAAAATAAATAAGACATAACAAGAGACCGATCTATTGACAGAGTTCACAAAAAGAGAACACATATTTTCTGCTGTATATTGGGGGAGGAGGACAGATTGCTATTTTCTCACTATTGGGGGGGGACACGACCAAAACCATTGATTATGATCCAATAGCTTATAGATTTGCTGTTTAAAGGCTCCAAAACACGGCCAATGTGCTTCAAACAGACAGGATATGAACATTTGACCTGTTATCTTATCTGTCGGCATGAAGGACAGCGAGGTAGAAATACTAAGTTAAACTTTTAAACGTACCAGGAACGTGTGCTTTTATACATTTGATCGGAAAGTTCTTTGATTAAGTGTTGTGCCGATACATCGGTGAACTGTGATAATAACGCCCATTTGTCCCGCAGTTGCAGTGCCTGAAACAGAACATGGAAGAAGTGAATGGTCGATACAGCGGTCAGCTCATTCAGCTGCAGCTCACCATCAACACGCTGGAGGTCGAGCTCCAGCAGCTGAAGATCTCCATCGAGCAGCAGCAGGCTGAGTACAACCAGCTGCTGGACATCAAGATGAGGCTGGAGATGGAGATCGCCGAGTACAGGAGGCTGCTGGACGGAGACCTGACTGAGACAAAGAAGTGAGTGTCTTTTTACTTTGTCAACGTGAAAGCAGGAGGCCAACTGGGTGAATCAATCAGACACGTTTTAAAAAATGATCTCCCCCTTTCTCCACAGGGTTGTGGTCATCAACGAGGTTGTGGAAGTGGAAGGTACGGATCCGAATCATGACACAAACCAAGGTTCTGATCTGGTCACAGTGCCTCTGTCTCACAGTGCGTTACGTCTGTCTTCCACCTCTGCAGAGCGGAAGCCCCACATCGAGAGGAGGACGCAGATCATCGTGGAAGAGATTGTCAACGGAGAGGTGGTGTCCTCCACCGTCGACACCAAAGTGGAGGACATCCAGTAACGCGCCACGGTTCACTTCTGCCGCCACCAAACTTGTTTCTTTACTCAGAAAATACTTATTTATTTACTAGAGTCAGTGGGTAGCTTTAGTTTGACGAGGAAAGTGTTTCAAGGGTGTTTCTTTTTACTGCAATGATGTAGCAGAGTTGCAGCGAGATGTGATCTTTACCTTCATAGATTCCTACTTAAATATGATTGCAAGGATATTTTCTTGATAAAAAACATATATTCAAATCCAGAAAGGTTTTGATATAGTTTAGAAATGGGGTCTTTCATTGGAAAAATTCTGCTTTTTATATATCCAAATAACAAAGGAGCAGTTAAAGGGTTAAAGGAATGAAAGTAGTTTTAGGCCATGAAAATAAAATTATAAAAAGTCAGTAACGTTGTTGTTGGCTGAGGTCAGCTCTTGTTGGTGTATCCTATATTTTCTCGGTGTTGACAGTCTGCCAAAAATCACAGCAATACACCAAAATAAAACCAAGTCGGGCATTGATTCAAAGGGAAAATGTGTTGGGTGTAATTTCTCTCTAAACCACTAGATGTCACCTTTGTCTTTCTCTTGAAAACAAAGTCCTTTCTCAACTTTAGGAGATTGCTTACTCTTGTTTATCTCAAGGGAAAACTGGTTGTTGGATAACAAACAGTTGTTCACAGATAACAACTAAATAAAATATTAGAAACATTATAAGATTCGAACGGAACCATAGAAGCATTTAAAAAAATATTGATTTGAGGTTAACATTTGGATGGAGTACAATCAAGCAAAGGCTTCAGGGATTTAACCAATTTTTAATTGAGTCAATCTGTGGTTAAAATGACTCACTATTAACAACTTCCTCCCTTTTACTGCTTTTGTGTGGCACTGTATGAACACATTGCTTATTGGCAATGGTGTTTAAATGTAATTGATGGCATTCTCCCTGCAGCTCTGTGCAGCACAGCCGCAGGTTCATGCAGAGAAAGATGGATTAATCTGTCTCAATGTCTAGACCTCACAATTGAAATGATTCTCTATGACTCACCTTCAAAACCAAATCAATTAAAAAAACATCAAATGTGCACTGGAGAGATAAAATTGCCACCAATCTTACATACAGAAATGTTATGCCAAATTTGAGAGTAAATGCTTGTTATACGCCTCATTCGATGCACTCGGGCTTTGCAGTTACCTGACAGTGTGAAAAATGAAATATTAAACGACTCTCGCTCATGCTGTTGTAAATTTCCATAACTGTCCCTGACCCTGTGGCAAAATACTGCTTTAAAAGGGTGCGGTTGATACCGGCAGGCTGTTGCAAGATGCAACAGAAACCAGTCTGGGCCTGAAACAGAGTAAACATTTGAGACAGAGGAACATTGTTAAAAGACACACCTCAGTCTCTCCACAGCATGACACAGAAAGGCGGAGATCGTTTTACTTTGGCTTAAATGAGTGAGTCACACACCCAGGGCACAGCGCTGCGGGCTGTTCCTCATGTCACAGCACATTTTGAGCATTGTGTTCCTGCACCCCACATACATGTTGCAGGTGCTTGAGTCGGGGAAGGACTTCGTACTCAGGCTTGAATGAGTCTTAAGTCATTCCCGGTCACATGAAAATTGGATGGGGTGTGTGAGACACTAAATGTGTCAAAGAGACTTATTGTCAAGCTTTTTGGCAGGAGCCCTGCAGGTCGAAGTGCAAGGACTCCCACACAAGTATTGCATAGCCAATTGTACAAATCAGTCTGCTTTGAGGTTCGACTACAGTTTAATTTATCTTCTGAGAATCTATGAACGAAAAATGGAATACGGAGTGAATCAGTTTGCATGTCTCAATTATGAGCAGTATACCTTGTTGTACCTCACACAGGAATCACGCTCACACCTTGCGACATCGCCCCACATACCATCTGCATTAGTCACTCAGCTCACAGAAACAACAACTCTGCTGTTCTTTGTCACAGCAGAAGAGTCTGATTCTCACAGAGCATAGTACTACAATGAAATATCTTCATTTTGTTTTCAAATCTACTATATTTAAACAAAACATATCTGCTATATTATGTGTGTGTTGATACCACCAAGGAAGCATTTTGAGACATGACACACTACATTAAGAGCCAGTTGAACACAGGCTCCAACATGTTGGTGGAAATGAAAATGTCGCGCTTCCAAGTCTGTCGGTCTTATTTGAGGTCCACAGAGCAGCTCGGTACAGCAGATACAGAAGTCAAGTGCTCTCCTCAAGCAGTGGGTCATTTAATGATCACAAACAAAGTTCTCTGCACGTAAACACTGCTGCCTAAAAATGAGTTCAACAGGATTTTACTGCGTGGTTTTTAAAATTCATTTAAAATGATGTTAAATTAACATAAAAAAGTGTGTGTTCATAAAAAGAAGAATGTAATGCTAACATGCAAAATGTAACATATAAAACGATGCCCCCTTTGATATTTATCGTCAAGCAGATGCATTTTCTGGTCTGTTCAGAAGAGGTTTTCTTTGTTCCTTAATAGATTACTCGCAATCTAAGAATTTTTTGATTATTTCTAAAGCAGGTTAAAACTCGTGTTTCACTAGGGAGGAAACGGGATATCTCAGGAACTGTAATGACAACGTGCTGATCAGATAAAGGTTCAAGGAATTTATGGAGCTTTTTCCGTAATGGCAATCATTTATGTTTCAGAAAGGAGCATGAAGAAGCATTGTTTTGTTTTATAATTTGAAGGAATTGAAGTTTTGCAATTCAATAACAATCTAAGTTACATTCTCCAACTGATCCAACGGCAGAGCGGTGTGTGAATATTCTCTGATGTTGAGCAATATTTGGGCTGCACGACAACAGCCAGCTATATCTTCTATGTGCATATAGTTTATCATTTGTTAAATTACATTAGTGATTCATGTATTTGCAAGTTGTTCGATTTGTGCCAATATATATATTTTTCACAACCTTAGTTAATCGAATGAATACACATTTGTTGAGTCATGCACACTTGTTTATTATAGGGAAGCGTACCTCGTAGTCTTCGACATTGACAATTGCTCTTTTAATTGTGATTCTTATCTACTGTAAACTTTTCATAAACTTGCTCGTGTTGTTGCTCAACCAGAACATTCCCAGAGTGCGCGGTTTAACCCTCTGCACTGCCACACCTCAATGCTGCCTTAGGGTGACAGTGGCGCATGGAGTAGAGTGGTGCGCCACTGTCACAACTACTGTAAGCTGGACATTATTCAGCCATTCAGCACATGCATGAGAGGAGAACTTCAAAATGGAAAGCAGAAGTTAAAAGAAACACCTGGCTTTTGTTACTGCAGGCTGTAGATGTGTCAACAGTCAACAGTAGTAATTTGTTAAGTAAAAGTGAAAAAGCTGTTGATGCAAAATGTTCTAATTTAAAGCCTCCAGAATTCTTAAAATCGAATTCGTTTTTTAAAAGAATCCCTAGCTGCAAAGAAAGGCGCAAATGCTTGTTGAGACTTGAATGGAATACTGTGGTGAAATGGAAAGGAGCAAGCAAGGAAGAACTCTTTCTTCTTTGTGCACATGCCAAAGCACAATGCCAAGAAGAGGTTGTGTAAGGTTGGATACCGCCTTACATCATTTTGAATTCTATAAAAACTGCTTCTAGCCGGCAACCCTGCAGGCTACTGTTGAGAAAAACATATCAAAAAAGTATTTTTGCATTCGTCCGATTTTAATGCAAGATAACGCAGACAAAAAAGAGGTGTGTGAGAAAAGTGTGTGCTGACAGGAAGAAAAGTACAAAAAAATCCATTGTACTGATCCATTTCACAATGTTTGTAAGTGCAGTGTTTATTGCCATGGTAACATGACAGGTTTGTCCAGCAGTCTTGCTCAAGAATCTTGGAAAAAGTTTCAGAATTCTTTCAGATGTGACAGAATAACTGCTTGAGGCTCACAGTAACATGAGTGGCAGTTTTACATTCATACTAAAAGAGCTTCACACAGCTTCATGCATATTAATGTGGTGCACGCATAGTGCAAAACTAAGTCATTTCATGAGGTTCAGCGATGGCTGTGAGGCTTTGATGAATTGTCTTTTGTTTTTTTCATATAATAGGATTAAGTTTAATCCCTCTCTCTCCCTCTGATCGTTCATAATGAATGAAGGGTGTGTGACTGGTGGGGCAGAGCAACCATTTTAGGTAATGCTCCTCCCTTCAGTCCTGGACCTACCCTCCCACACCAGAGGCAGCAGCAGCAGCCCTGTGGAGTATAAAAAGGGGACAGAGGAAGGGCTGTGCATCTTGCTCCATCTCCTTTTCTCCAGGCAGACTTCCTGAGCAGTCTTCACAATGTCCAGATCCAGCACTTATTCCAGCTCCAGTTCCTTTGGTGGAGGCTCTGGTAGAGTATCTGGAAGATCCATGGGCGGAGGCTTTTTTGGAGGCCAGCAACAACGGCCTTCTTATGCTACCAGCATGCACGGTGGTGCAGGTGGCTCCAGAATCTCTGTTTCCTCTAGCAATTTGCTTTCATCCGGTTATGGCGGCGGAAGCGGCTTTGGCATGGGAGGGGGAGCGGGTTCATCCTTCGGTGGAGGTGGCGGCTTGGACCTCCATGTTGGAGCCAATGAGAAGGCCACCATGCAGAACCTGAACGACCGTCTGTCCACCTACCTGGAGAAGGTGCGTAGCCTTGAGCAGGCCAACGCAGACTTGGAGATCAAGATCCGTCAGTTCCTGGAGAGTAAGACCTCCCCCAACGCTCGTGACTACTCTGCTTTCGAGGCCACCATTGCGGACCTGCATGGAAAGGTATGTTACGAATTCCTGAATGAAATACTAGAGCATGCCACACCTTAATTGCACTGATCACGTCAAATGAAACCTTGTTTTGTCGCACAGATCCAGGATGCCACCCGTACCAATGGAGGCATCTATCTGTCCATTGACAATGCAAAACTGGCAGCAGACGACTTCAGAACAAAGTAAGTGTCAGATATGAGGGACACAAAGTGTCTAAAACATAGATTGAAAATCACTGGTGACCAATGCGTGGTAGACGTTTACGTTGACGGCAAATGTCCGATCTTTTGCTGCCACACAGGTATGAAAATGAGCTAGCTATGCGTCAATCAGTGGAGGCAGACATCGCCGGTCTCAAGAGACTGTTGGATGAGCTGACGCTGGCCAGATCAGACCTGGAGATGCAGATCGAAGGCCTGAGGGAGGAGCTGATCTTCCTCAGAAAGAACCACGAGGAGGTTGGTAGCAAAAGAATGACAGCAAGAATCTGAGGGGGTTGCGATTTAATTTTGCTTTATTAAACATAGAAAGAAATCTACTTAAACATCAGGAAACGCTTTAACCCTTTAATCCTCTTCAACAGGAATTGGCGGCCATGAGAAGCCAGATGAGTGGACAAATCAATGTGGAGGTGGACGCAAAACAACAGCCAGACCTGAGCAGCATTATGAATGAAATGCGCACGCAGTACGAGGCTGTGGCCGCCAAGAACCAGAGAGAGCTCGAGGTCTGGTTCCAAACACAGGTAAGACCAAAACCCTGGTAGTGATATTAATTGTCCTTAGTAACCTCTCATTAAATGTTTAATTTGGTACATAAGAGGTTACTCATGCAAACGATTTTGTCCATTGTCCACTCAAGTCAGAAACGCTGAACAAGGAGGTCGCAGCCAACACAGAATGTCTCCAAACATCCAAGTCAGAAATCACCGAGCTCCGTCGCACGCTGCAGGGCCTGGAGATCGAGCTACAGTCCCAACTTAGCATGGTAACGGGCAGCGATGTGGCGCAAATCTTACATACAACTCAAAGCAACCGCAGTAGTTTTTGGTTTATCCACTTCTTCATCGCCTCTTCTCTTAACCTTCCTCCTCCAGAAAGCGTCCCTGGAAGGCACCCTACGTGAAACAGAGCAACGGTACTCCTTCCAGCTCCAGGGTCTCCAGTCGCAGGTCACCAGCCTCGAGGCACAGCTGATGCAGCTGCGCTCTGACATGGAACGACAGGGTCAAGAATACAAAATGCTGCTCGACATCAAGACACGGCTGGAGATGGAGATTGCAGAATACAGGAGGCTGATGGACGGAGAGGGGAGGTAATTTTGTCTGCAAACAGTACTTTAGTCCTTTCATTGTCAACCAATAACTAACTCTGTAAATTGAGGCAATATACTGATATCCAATGCAATCCATATAATGCAATCCACGTAACTCTCCTCCTTCACAGTTCCACCACCTCAAAGTCTAGCAAGACTGTAATCATCACACAGGAACTGCAAAATGGCAAGCTGGTGTCCTCCTCTAAAACCACCGCCTGATTGTTCTGCTGTCCCCTGACGACCACAAGAAGCATACAAAGATAATCTTACTTCACATACACATGTGTATGCAATAAAAGACTGTGGTTTGCTCACAATCATTTGTCTTATGTGACTTATTTGTGTCTTAGTCGCACCTAAAGTTCCGAGTGATATAGTTTGTAAAGTTATTTTAATAATAAATAATAAGACTATTTTAAACGCTATGTTGGAAAAATATGAACAATGAAAGCAGTAAGTCATTAAAATCATTATATCAGGGCTCTTAAAGCAAAGATCCATTTGGGCCGTGAGTATAAAGTTGCCAATATCCCTACAGAGCATAGTATGGAAATTCTTAGCAGAGTAAAATGGTAAATACACTGTACTTGTATTGCGCTTTTCTATGCGCTATTCATCAGATGACTATCTATTTATGACATCATTCACCCATTCACACCCATTCATGCACTAATGACAGGAGCAACCATACACAGTGCCACCTGCCCATCAGTAACTAACATTCACACACTGTTATCGCAGCTAAGGGAGCAATGTTGGGGTTAAGTGTCTTGCCCAAGCACCCATCAACATGCGGGTCAGCCGGGCCTGGGATCGAACCGCCAACCCTCTGATTGGAGGACGACCGTGCTCCCCACCCATGTGACGAGGGTAAAGTGCCTTCTCTTTATACTAAACCATTTTATGTTCAGGACAGAAACCACACAACGTACAGCAGTACAGAACCAGACTCACAGCTCTACTGCAAACAGCATGCATGCTTCAAAACAAATATATATATATATATTTTAGGAGGAACGATATAGCTACATTGTATACGTGTTTAACTTTAACATGTTAATGGGATTTAATTATTGAAACAATTTAGATTACAGACCGCGATGTACAGTGTAACGCTCTAGAATTATGGTATAATCTTTAGTATCAACAGTACGACAACTCATACCAATACGTATGTAAAGGTCCTGAGGAAAAAGATGCAGCAATGCAAGCGAGTCCCAAATCTAGTGTGTGTAAACTCTGTCCAATCAATGCGACGGAGTATTGAGTGATGAAACTTGCTGGAGAGGTGGAGGTAGCTTTCATATATACAGTGTATATATATATATATATATATATATATATATATATATATATATATATATTTAATATATATTTATATATAAAAATACATGAAGGGACATTAAGAATAGATACAAATTTTCCATTATTTGTGATTTTTTAGTTAACTGGGACATAAATGTGATTAATTATGAGTAAATATTTTAATTGTTTGACAGCACTAATATATATATATAATATATAGTTCCACTTCTGTATCATTTATGTTTATGGTTGTTGGCTATGGGGAAAATGTTTATAGTTGTACTATCACTGTTGTCCACTGAAACATACATTGGGTTTACTACGGCTTCTTTGCTATAAATACAACTTGTAGAGAGCTGGGGTATTGAATCTTATAACAATTATCCAAAACATTGACTGAATACAGCTTTGATTGAATAATAATACTAATGGTAATAGCTTGGTGAGATCAAGCTATTAGCAGCCTTATCGGATTTTTAGAAATAAAAAGGTGGAATACTCATTCATTACAAAATATATCAAATACACAAAACCTTCAATTTCACTTTTTGATCTTTATTGATTTTCAATAATCCATCTAGTGCATCACTTAATCTCATCCACATCCACACCAACAGTCTTGCTGCTCTCGACCACCCTTCCATCGACAACTGTTTGCACCACTGTGATGGTTTTTGTGACAACTGTAGGAAAAAAATACACAACAATCATGAGCAAATCACACATTTCTTCAACCATGTTAAAACTTATGTCATGTATGATAGAAATTACATAAAAAGATGGCTTACTTTGTTTTGAGCTGGTAGTGGAGAGGAAGAGAAAGAACAACATTAGTCTAGAATATCTACTCTACATCATGGCATCATCAAACTGGATAGGGATATTTTCCCCATGTGACCAAACTTCCAGGCTGTGTTTCTCTCTCTTAATCGAGTCTCACCTGTCATCCTCCCCATCCAGCAACCTTCTGTACTCCGCAATCTCCATCTCCAGCCGAGTCTTGAGGTCCAGCAGCATGTCGTACTCCTGCTTGTTGCTGGCGATGTTGGCGTGGAGCTGGGACAGCTGAGCCTCCAGGCTCGTGACCGTATTCTGGAGGTTTGCCAGCTGTGCAGCGTAACGCGCCTGCGTCTCTTGCAGGGTGCCCTCCAGAGAGCCTTTCTGTTGTGGTTGCAGGAAGAAGAAAGTGAGTCATCAGGTAGTCAAATCTGCGCAGGTTACTTTGATGCTGGTTCCAATTGGCTGCAAGGCCTGTTGACGTGATTGCGCAACTAGCATTTTAGGGTTCTGTGTACTTTGAGGAACAAGTTAAGAAGGGTGATGCAGGAAGGTTAACAGCTCACAAATTCATAAAATAGAGTATTAGTACCATTTAAAAGCGATACATTTTTGACCCCCGTAAGCTATGTCTTTATGCTAACTGCTAAACTGAGGTATGGAGCTCCAAGATATTTTCTTTAAACGTTTACAGTGTCATTGTCTGTTCTAGCATCATAATTTGTAGCTTCCATTGGATAATCATATTTATTGTTGATGTTGACCTACCATGCTGAGACTGGACTGCAGTTCAATCTTAAGCCTCTGGAGGGTGCTCTTCAGGTCTTTAATCTCTGTGCGCGATGTCGACAGAATCTCTGTGTGAGTGATCACGTCCTGCTCCACCGATGTGATCTAGGCCGATTAAAGAAACAAAATTCTTTGTCATCCAACAATTACTCCAAGATAAATCACCCCAACTCAACAAAGGTAACCGCGTTGGCTTTATTCTGAGCAGTTGTAACTTTTCACCTTGTTCTGGTACCACGCCTCAAGCTCCTTGCTGTTCTTGCTGATCATACTCTCGTAGTGTTCCCTAATCTCTGACATAACCTTGTTCAGGTCTGGAGAGGGAGAAGCGTCCACGGCCACATTGACCTGTCCGCTCATCTGATTCTTCAGCAGGATCAGCTCCTGTAGGGGGTCAAAGGACAGTCGGCAGGTTTATTAACTTCAGATGATTCATTGTTTTTTATTATGGCAACAAGAGCCAACAATGGCTTCTTTGTGAGCTGTATTTCCATGTCTGTTTAGGTGGATTTTGATCTGAGTGTGACAAACAGTAGCAATGAGCTAATGGAGGAGAGAGAAGAATACAAGGAAGTGTGCAGAAGGAAGAGGGGCAGCGCTGGGAGAAGGGAGAGGGCAACAGACCTGTTTATAAAAACACTAACCTAACATGGAATTTCCTTTGTGTTATCGGAGGTAAGACAGAGGTCACATGTACAGAGCTTTGCTTAGAGCTTTGCTCAGACCACAGTAGATCTCTATAAACCGTTTCAACTTTGTCTCACTGTGAATAGCTGCTGAAAAGATGGATGATGATGAGTTTAATCAATCACCGGTGTAGTTGCACACTTTCATGCTAGGCACATAGACAGAGGGGGTGTTGGCCCCCAAAGTGCAGGAATGTAACAGGCGTGTTGACACAAACTACTGCTTTTGGCTGCATGTGAATCACCTTCACTAACCTCAGATTGATAAAAAACAACCATCTCACCTCTTGGTGATTCTTCTTGAGCAGGATGAGGTCTTCATTTAGGGCTTCACACTGGCTCTCAAGGTCCATTCTGGCATAGTTCATCTCATCCAGGACTCTTTTCAGTCCAGCGATGTCCGCCTCCACAGCCAACCTCATGGCCAACTCGTTTTCATACCTGAGAGAGGTGGGGGGACGCAAGTGGGTATTATTGGGTCGCTAACATTAGAAGTTGAATGTGCATGTGAAGTTTCTCTTGTGTGCCATTGCAGAGGAGGACAGGGGGATATACTCACTTCATTTTGAAATCGTCGGCAGCCAGTTTTGCATTGTCAATGTCCAGGATTGTCTTGGCATTAAGCCTAGAGGCAACACAAATCTGAGGAGGAAAACACAGACAGGGAAACAAGTCAGACAAACTACAACCAAGTCTTGTTTCTTTAGCAATAGTGCAGAACGCCATCTATCCCGATCATTTCTGGGAAAGGACCGTTAAAAGTTTTTTTAAGCTCAAAATAAGGATAAACGTGAATGCAGCCTGTGCAAAATGTTTTCTGCTCCTCTACCTCACATGTCAGCTGTCTCAACCCCACACACAGTTCACACCAACACACTCCCTGAAAAAGATGAGGAGGGAAAGACAACAGGAAACACACATATCGGCGGACTTCTTCTTACCTTTTCCTTCAGGTCTTTGATGATGGCGAAGTAGCTGGTGTAGTCGTGGCTGACGACCGTTTTGCTCTGGTACCAATCTCTGATTTGCTTCTCGAGTCGGTCGTTCTCCTTCTCCAGGGTGCGCACCTTGTCCAGGTAGGTGGCCAGGCGGTCGTTCAGGTTCTGCATGGTGGCCTTCTCGTTCGCCCCGACGTGGAGGTCCAGGCCGTCAGCCAGGTGGAAGCCTCCGGAAGACTGTCCGTAGTTCTGCTGGGACGAGGAGATGCGTGTGCCACGGCCGCCTGCCCCTCCGTACACACTCATGGTGCTCTGGCCGTACAATTTGCTGCTGAAAGACATGCTGGACGAGAGTTGGGTCTGGATCAGGTAGTTGATCTGCAGTAGAAGGCATCACCTTGGTGTCCTTGGTTATATAGGTGCTTCAGCGCAGTAAAGTGGGAAGGGCTGGGAGGGGTAAGCGAAAGGTAAGAATGTGGCACAAAGGAAACCCACCCACCTCTTTGCATTCTCCCCATCAGTTTGGGTGTGGTTATCAGTTGGCAGGGGTTACCATGCTTTTTTTTTCAGGTCAAACCCGCAGTACCACATTTCATCGTTTCCCAATGAAACGGCATTCTTCGGATTGTTATTTTTCAGAGTCTCTGTAATCAGTTGGTAGTTGTCAGCCTTCCTTGTCAGGTTGAAAACAGGTTTAGACGCAAGGACATATTTTAAGGTACGTTCTAACTTAATTGTCTTGTAAAATATTAGCTCACAGCAGTGACAGAAATGGCACATGGGAGCGACAATTCCACCACCGTGAAACTTGGGGCAAAAGGTTGAGGGGAGGGCAGTTCTAGGGTAGCCAAAATAGTTATTGTGTCCAAGACTCGTAAATCACTTCCATTAGCAAAGATCATGATATGAAGGAAGAGTTGAACGTTTCATTGTGAACATAATTTAAATCATACAAAGACACTTTCTTTCCTCTGGGACGACAAACAATCTTAAAAATGTACCAGCTAGTTTAATTGGTTTATAATTATCACCGTAACAGACCCACATACTCATGCCACCTGAAAATGATCACATTGTTGTTTTCTTTTGTTGACTCATCAACGGAGCCATGCGGCCCGCCTGCATCAATCAACAGTCCCGCTGATAAAAAAGGGGGAGGAGACGACTTAAAACATCGCACAGTGTTGAAAATAGTATTTGGGCACATAATACTCCAGTTACAATGATTTACGTGGGATGATTTCTGTTTTAATTCTTTGAAGGATACCAAATGATTCTTTAGTATTTTGGAAAATCAACTATTTTGATTGAAAGAGGGGAATGTGACAGTCCGACACTTGTAACACGTTGACAATCCCTCATCTTTTGTCATAGCAGGTGTAGTTAATTGACAAAAGAACATCATAAATCATCCAAGAAATGTGTTTCTTTACAATCTGACCTATTTTGTTTTTTATTATTAAAAGCATTTCAGCGCTATAATCAACATAACTTCAATCACCAAAGACAGGCTCTTTTGTTCCTACAAACACTGGAGACTGAAAAATGTAGCACACCCTAAAGATCTTTCTTCAAGACAATCAACTTTGATGGTTGATGGCTTGCATTAGCTGAAGGCTAACTAAAACCCGTTTAGTTGCATTTTAGCTGCAGCATCAACTAAAACACGGAAGCATGCTTGTGCAAACAGTTTTTTTGATGTGCTATCATTTCATAGACTTTATAAAAGTGAAGTTTGGTCAATTTTCCCACATTAAAACACAGAAATTGAAAGAATCAGTTGAGATATTACATGTTATAAATGTCAAGACAGAAACACACATTGACAAAGTAGCAGCATTCACTCTTTGGTTTTTACAACAATTCAATTAGGAGAGACAAGCACTAAAAGTATTAAAAGTGCAAAGTTTGTTGGTGCTTGCGCTCCATCCAGCCGTAGGATAGACCAGGGGCCGGGACGCCGAGATTAGATGAGGCATCCCCCCCCCTTTGGGAGTCCACACACTGGTGGTGGTTTTGGTAGCGAATAAGTTGCTCCACTCTTTCCATATGCCAGATTCCCCTGCTGGTTGGAGGTGTCCGGGGTGGCGGAGGGTTGGTCGTCTGGTGCTTGCTGAAATGACAACTGACGACAACAGAGAGGAGAACCTACTTTTAACCTTGACTTTTGGGGGGAAAGCGTAACAGTACCACGTTTCGTTTGCAACTAGGTCTCGTGATTATCAACTTTCCCTCAGCTAAAAAAAGAAAATGACTGTCATTATTATTATTATTATTATCTGTGAAAAACACAATATTTTAAGAAAGCATCAGCATTTGTATGCATTTCGATGGCATTTCTAGCGAGAAGTATGCGTTATATTTTCATAATCTTCTATCAGAGAATGTAGAAGACCTTCCGCTTATTAGTTTCTAGTGACGTAGTTGCAAGGCAATGTAAATGAATGGGCCAAAACAAAACGTAGTATTGTCACGACTTTGGGGAGAAAGCGTGAGAATACCACGTTCCACAACGTAGCCATTACACGTTTTGCTGTGAGACTGGGTTGATACTCACAAAGACAGCCGGGCCCCTGGGGCAGGCATCGGCTTCTCCAGTCTTCCTGACTGAATTTTGGCTTCATAGAGTTTCCAAAGCATCAGAGAGATGTCATTGTTAAAAAGTATGAGTCAGGATATTTTCCAAGAAATGGATATGGGGATATTCCATGGAACACAGTGAAGACAGTCATCATCAAGGGGAGAAAATATGGCACAGCAGTGTCATTTCAAAGTACTGGACGCCCTTCCAAAATGGATGAAAGGACGAGAAGGAAACTGGTCAGGGAAGCAGCCAAGAGGCCGACGGCAACATTAAAGGAGCTGCAGGAATTGGCAAGTACGGGCTGGGTATATATGACAACAATCTCTCGTATCCTTCATAGGTTTGGGCTATGGAGTAGAGTGGCAGAACAGAAGCCTTTTAAGAAAAACATACAAGCCTGGCTAAATTTAGCAAAAGCATACATGCAGACTACCAGATACCTAATATATATTTGGTATTTGTTAGAATATAATAGGTAATATGTAGTAATGTTGAGTGTGAGAAATGTAGTTTGGGTGTTAGTAGATATTAGTTTTTACATTAGCAGATGAAATAATTGCAAAAGTGAAGCACAATTTATAGTAATTTAAGTCAAATAATTACTGTACACATTAACATCCAGCCACAATGTAACTTTTAGACCTGGAAATGAATGCTAAATTTGTCTTATGGATTTCTTCCAATTTTCTCCCCTAAGAGGTTTTTTTTTTTTTTAATCTCCTGTCAAGTAGTAAATGAGCAAAGGAAGCTTTGCTTTAAGCCAAAGGTGTGATCATTGAATGTACTGTAGTATTAAGTGAACAGGGATCAGGTCAGTGAGGGATTTCAGATTCCACCATCAGATGGAGCCAGGAGGGGGTCATGTGATGCCTTGGAGCAGAAAGGAATTCACGAGGGAGGAGCTGGGCTTGAATCGCATACGACTGCAGCACAAGGGACACGCCCCCCCCGGGAGGTTGGAAGAGCTGAGCTGAAGAAGGAGCAGGCAGAAGCCTCCTGTGAACCAACGTCAATGGTCATATGAGACTTGGACGAGGGGACTTCTCTATTTCGCGAAATAATATAATACTGTTCATACTTGATTTCACTTTTATTTTCACTTTGTATTGCTTATTACTTCTCTTAGTTATTCAATTCTTTATCTTTTTTAAACTCGAGCCAGTTGACTTTTCATGACTTCTCGTCTCAGAAGGGGTGAGGGTGACAGTATTGTTCCTTGATCAGAAGATCAGAACTCCACAAAATTTGGTTTGGACAGTGCAGACAAATACATATGCATGCACACTGGAACCAATTCCGAAGCAGCATCTCACCACCTCCCATCAGCCCTCCACACCCACTTTGGGCAGGGAAAGGAAAGTGGCCACAATATCAAGTGATAGTTCTGCTCGCTGCATCAGTCCCGAGTCACTGACGGGTTCTGCAGCGGTTTGCTGTCACGCTGTGTGCATCCAAAATCCACATATTGATTGTTTTGATAAGGGAGTCTGTGTGAGAGAAATGGTTGGCAGGTCTTTTAGTGAGAACATTCGGGTCAAGCTATAATTTACTGACATTGACACACATTCTTTCATTACCTTACTATTAAGTATAGTAATACAGTAGTCTCATATTTATCTTTACCCGTGACTTACTTTTGTATACACTGTGATGAGCGGATGGTATCTAAATTCTTCTTTGGGGAAAACTTTGGGACGCTAGTGGTTTCAAACTTCCCAACATTCTGTGTGGATATCTGTTGCATCTCCAACTTGTAACTCTTTTTTTAATGACATTCACTAGATGGTGCACTTTAGCTGTGATTCTCCCGTCTACAGCTCAGAGGTCTGTTGTACAGGAAGGGTGCGGCCCTTTGATAATCTTTTTCAGAGCCATCGACCACTAAAGACCTTTTCACGTAGTCTTTTTCTTTTTACCTCATAGAGTTTTTATAACTATATCAGAACTTGATTCAGCATTTACGGCACAAGCATCAGTCCCCATATAAAGTGCACCTTCTAATATATTTCTTCCAGGTGAATGTACTATTGGAATGAGCCGGGTAGCTCTGTTGACGCAACCTGGCGTGCAGGTGAATGTTTTATTGTCTACTGTTCACAAAGAGACAGGAGGAACTCACCAAACTCTTTACATATGTCACACAAACACACAGACACGTACACATACAAGTAATCTAACCCGTCGGCACATTTCCCTGCGGGTTGCTCAGTCAATGTTTCACTCAAGGACCTTCGTCAGAATATTTTGCATGCTGTGGATTGCGCAGTGCATGCTGATTCAATGAGCAGGATTTGGTAATGCCTGTGGAGGGGTGTGGTACATCGAGAGGAGGCTCCATGGGCCCTGTTGCTCCATAACAGGCTCACGTCTGTGATTCTTAGTTACTGACTAAGCACCGAGCTGTTCTTGCTGCTGTATACATGGTGTGTATACATATATATATATATATATATATATATATATATATACAGTACTTGTCAGATGTTTGGTTCCATTTTGTCATTCAATGCAATGAATGAAAACTTTTGACTGATACTGCATATATCAGCATTATGTTTGTTTCTCGGTACACGGGACATTTCAACAGTTTCAGAAATCTTTTTATATCAAGCAGGAAAGCTGATTAACTTTTCAAACCTCCTGAAAGTGGCTTATCACTTAAGATCATATAACTGGCACTGATTTACGGAACAACAATATTGGCTCAGACAAATACCTATGGTCTTAGAGGTCAGTCCTCGTTAGCTTCTGTGCCAATTTTTCCATAATGCGGTGCAATAGCAACAGTTTCAGCAAACCGGCATCGTATCAGCAAACGTACGACATTATATTCTATCTACATCTTTAAGAATGGGTTTTTTCATTTGATAATTCAATGAAATCAACCCATGATTATTATTGTTCCAAACATCGATGTGCTATAAAACGAACAAAGATGCATTGGTTTGTCATGTTGAAATGATATGAACAACCAAGTTTTCAAAAAGGAAGAGGCCCATTTGTTAGGGACATGGGAACGCCATGCCAGAGAAGTGACACGCACACTCTGCCAATCCCTGTTGCTATGCAACAAACCGGATCATTTTAACGTTTTGAGACCACGGTAACATGAACGGAGAAATGTTTTGTTTAAAAACAAATCTTTGCATAGAAAGTGTCCCTCTATTCTCTTCGCCTTGAAGAAGGAAACTCAGGACAGAGGGATTGATTGCTGAAGATAACATTACTGTTTGAGTTCAGTCTGAGTCGGCTTCACCAAACCTCAGTGCCACCACTGGTAATTTGGTACAGATTCATAATATACAAACTAAATTCTCTCTGACATTTGTGTTGTAACTATAGTTATTCCTTTACATCGTGGCGTGGAGGTCACATGGGAATGCACAAGTTGCAGAAAGGGAAAATCAATGCAACGGATGCCTGAAGAAAGGGATTGCCCCGTCGCCCTGGCTAAAGTTCAAAAACCCTCATCGACTATTTTACTCAGGAATCTTATCTTCTGTTTTACTCAATCGGTTTCAGTAAGCAGGATTTGAGGAGCACTGGGTGTGTTGGTGTTTATACCCAGTCATACAGTTAATTACTCATAATGCTTTGAAAGCAGAAAGGACAAGTGCAGACAATCTAATATTTATATAAGCTCTCAGAGAATTATAGGATTGAACAGAGTAAATCACTGGTTAGATGTTAGATTGTTTGTGTTTCCTTTAAGCTTTGCTGTTACTGTAGATTGTGTAGCCCTTTGAGTAAATATTGAGTATGAGACTTTGTTCTTCAACCTGCCGAGGTTTGACCTGGGTTTGACATGAGATCACATGAGAAACTTGCGTGTCTCACTTGTTCACAGTAGTACAATACTATACAATCCAATCAAAAATGGTTGGTTTGAGACTACAGAGCAAATATATGTAAAACACAAAGGGGTATTGTTTCTTCAGTCCAGCGATGTCCACCTCCACACCCGACCTCATGGCCAGCTCGTCCTCATACCTGAGAGAGGTGGGGGACACACAAGGACAAACAAACCGCTCAGATGGGTTTTATTGGGTAGTTATTAGAAGTTGTCAGTGAACCTTCAGTTCACAATTGAATGTGCATGTGTAGTGCACCATTGCAGAGGAGGACAGGGGAATATACGATTGGGAAATCGTATAATCGTATATCGTCTGTTTCTCAGGATGTTTCAGCACAAACAGGTTCCTTAGAACTTTTAAGTCACTTACGTTTATTCATCCCCGCTGATTTCCTACAGGGAGGCTTTTATTTTTTTGTACTTCTCAGTTGGTGCCTCCGTTTGGTTGAGTCATATCTCTCTCTCTCTGTTTACGCATAATGACAGGCCAACCGAGATTGTGCATAACAGTGATTAAGGTCTAGACAAATAAAGTTGACGTGGCTTGTTTTAACTCCCATAAGGCGAGATAAACCTGCGACCCACATAATGAACATTTCGGTCTTTGAGCCATGACATATAAAAAAATGCCCCAAACCTCAAGAGACTTCTACAATGGATCATTTCATGTCATAAATGTTTCTCCGGCCCTCTGTAGAACAAACTATTTACTAAAGTCTAAAATTGTCAAGAATAATAGAGACAGGAATGCACTTTTATCGGTGTGGGTCACTTACAGTAAGGGATTAGTTGACACGATGCCCACATGCTAACAGGCATTGAGTTTACACTCAAATTGAAGCTAAAGATGCTACATGTTGTGCTACAGGCGCAAGGAAACAAGCCAGAGCTTCACTTTGAGATGAGGAGGACACACACACACACACATGCATGCACGCACACACACACACACACACACACACACACACACACACACACACACACACACACACACACACACACACTCACACACACACACACACACACACACACACACACACACACACACACAGGACTTAGGGGGGAAGTTGTGTGTGATAGGGTGATAATGGAGTCTGACAAATTCCCCTAAATGGGTTTGACTGACAATATGAAAAACAATCCTGGGTTGTGTTTCAAGGGTACACAATGTTCGTGTCTTTCAATAACATTCAGATACAATTTGCATTTAATGCAATTTTAAAAGCTTTTCTAGCTGTTACAATTCTCCTCTGCCTCCAAAAACGTAGTGTTTCCAAACTGTAAACGTTCGCAACATCTTGGGAATGATTTATTAAATTATGCTATAATCATAGCAGTGTGTCCTAGAAGTTTTAACTTGGATTTGCCAAGACTGAGACCACAGCGGTATCTTGATGGGTTCCACAAGATTTAAACATATTACTAGCAAACAAATGTTTATTCAGGGGTGGACAGTGGAGGCAATAACACTCTATTTGCATAAAGATAAGAAGTCACACATGCAGAGACACACACACACACACACACACACACACACACACACACACACACACACACACACACACTATTAGACACACACTCGGAGAGATCCCCAAGGACCCACAGATCCTCACACACACACTCACAAGCATTCCATAACAGTTTCCTCATAGGAGTGGAAAGAAATCGTACCCTGGTCCTTAACGGAAAACAAATGGAGGTTCTGCCAAACCCCCGGATGAACTGTAGAGGAAAACTCCCACCTCCCTCCTCCCAGCCGGACCCGCCCCTGGTCAAGCACTATATCAGGAGCCTGCCTGCCTATAACAAACTCCGCAGTCCTGCTACATTCTTCAGCTGTGTAACAGTCCTCTCTCCTCGTCTTCTCTCTTGACCAGCAGACAGTCAGCCATCATGTTCTACAGCCAGAGCAGCGGTCCCCAAACCATCATCAGGCAGAGCCGCAGCTACACATCCAGCTCTGCTCCCCACAAGGCTCACAGCGTGTCAGGATACAGCTTCAGAGGGAACCCGCGCATCGCCTCCACCAGCGTGCGCACCGTCTCCTCCGGGTATGGAGGCGGCATGGGTGGGTTCGACCTGTCCAACGCACTGGACCAGAGCTCCGTGCACATGAACGAGAAGGCCACCATGCAGAACCTGAACGATCGCCTGGCCAGCTACCTGGACAAGGTCCGCTCTCTGGAGACGGCCAACTCCAAGCTGGAGGTGCAGATCAGAGAGTACTACGAGCAGAAGGGGCCGGCAGCCGAGAGGGACTACAGCAAGTACTGGGCCATCATCAATGACCTGAAGGACAAGGTATTAAAATCCGGGCGAGCCAAATGTTTGCTGTGCTGTTAATGATTATTTAACACAGTTGGCTAAAGTCAAATGGGAAGGCAATGTGCTTGACAATGTAACTCAGTGGTGTAGCTGTGGGACTTGATGTAGATGATGTATCTTAGAAGCATGGGGAGTGAATAGTGTGTAGTTCAGCGCAAACCAGTCCCTGCTGTGTGCACCAGCACAATGAACTATTCAGAGGTCCAATTGTCCTTCTTTTCCAAAGATTGCTGCCGCCAACATTGGCAACGCCAGCATCCTGCTCCAGATTGACAACTCTAAACTGGCTGCTGATGACTTTAGAACCAAGTAAGTAGGAATCTTCATATGCCGAGGTCCTATTCTCAGCACGTTGATGTCCAACGAGAGGGCTTCGGGGGCCATAGGGGTCTCATATCTTTTTGCTCCACTCTCAAAAACAAACCAGGTTTGAGCACGAGCTGATGATGCGCCAGTCAGTTGAGGCTGACATCGCAAACCTGCGGCGTCTGCTGGACCAGACCACCCTGACAAAGGCTGACCTGGAGATGCAGATCGAGAGCCTGCAGGATGAGCTGGCCTACCTCAAGAAGAACCACGCTGAGGTGACTTTAGCACATCCTCTAGCTATTATGACCAATAATCACCGTGAGCACAGCGGCACCCGTCACCCAATCCCGCACCAGAGCTGTTTGTGACTCAGCCAGTTAGATGCTCAATGCTGACCTCTTTTCATCTTTCCCCCTGTACAGGAGCTGGCAGCGATGCGCTCTCAGCTCACCGGCACGGTCAACGTGGAGGTGGACGCCGCGCCGCAGGCAGACCTCAACAAAGTCCTGGACGAGATCCGCGCCCAGTACGAGGCCATCACTGACAAACACCGTCGGGACCAGGAGTGCTGGTTTAATGAGAAGGTGAAAAAGACTGTTCCGTAAACACTCACATCCCACACGTTGCAGATGACTGGGGTTTACTCCCTCAGCCGTCCCATAGACATACTGACTGGTGGAAAAGAGAGGGGTTATCGCCTCGCCAAGACTCCTGTTTTCTTTTTTTTTTCTCCCTGTAGTCTACAACGCTGTCCAAGGAGGTGGCCTACAGCACAGAGACATTCCAGACGTCCAAGACAGAGATCGGTGACCTGCGGCGCACACTGCAGGGCCTGGAGATTGAACTGCAGCTTCAGCTCAGCATGGTGAGACCCCCCCCCCCCCTCCTCCTCTTCCCCCCATCTGCTCTCATCGCACTGATCTTGCCTTATATGAGCAAAAGTCCCGGGTTGCAGTCGTGTCTGGTATTGTAGAAACAGCCAGTGACAGAGGGTAAAATAGCAGAGGGAGGGGGACAGAGAGAGGCTTCATTGGAAGAATGAGGGGAGGCAGAGGAATTTATATGCACAATAGGATCTGTGGGGAAGGGAGGGAAGGGCTCCATTTGGGAACGGCATAAAAGAGCTTGAAGAAAGCCGAAGGAATGCTGAACTGGATGACCCAAAAGATCTTTCTCCCGTGGATTATCTGTGCCCAGCTGGAGTAGATCATTTAACTCTCCCTGCGAGCACAGAACGCTGCTCCTGTCGAGGAGCAGCTAAAAGAGCTTAGCACATATGCCTCTGTAATCATTTCCTTATAAAGAAGGGAAAACGCTTTGCACAAACACACCTGATTTTGTGTCTGTCAGACGCATAATCCAAGGCGTGGCGGGTGGTTACAGACTATAGTTTTAGATTATCACAAAGTAATTAGTACAGTCAAGTAGTTTGCAAGCATGAACATCAAACTGCGTGTTTCAATGTGCGTATCAGCTGCTTTTTTTTTCTTTGCTTCTCTTAACAGAAAGGGGCTTTAGAAAACTCACTGGGAGAGACGGAGGCTCGTTACAGCTCCATGCTCTCTGCCTTCCAAAGCACAATCAACATGCTTGAACAAGAACTCGGCAACGTGCGCTCAAGCATCGAGCAGCAGGGCCAAGAATACAGGATGTTGCTGGACATCAAGACCAGACTGGAGCAGGAGATCGCAACCTACAGGAGCCTGCTGGAAACCGAGGAGTCCAGGTAGACCCAGTGAAACATGAGAATGGAGTTATGACATCATTTCAAAGTGGATGGAGTCATGGAGAAAATAATGCACCAATTTACTCAATGTTTCCCTCTGCTTTTCTCTTGGCCCTCCCTCACTCTAGACCTAAAGGTAAGTGACGTGTGTTTTAACACGGCATATAAAACAACAGTAGGGTCAGTGTGATACAAGCTTGAAGCGCTGCCATCATGAGTCGTTGCCTTCTGTTTCACAGGAGGCTCAAAGACCACAGTCACAACCACCGTGCGGAGTTCCAGCTAGGACGTCCAATTGGCAGGACAAGCTGTGCTCAGACCTACAAACACACATTCACACACACACACACAACCACACCCACACACTAATAAAACTGTACTGAGGAAAACTGAGGTATTTTGGGAAGTGAAGCCTGTTTTAAAATCCACAACATTTGCAATTCAGAAGCATCAATGTGCACGTGCGGTTGTGTATTTGTGTGTGTTTCACCTGTCTGACAATAAATCGGCGAGTTGATACAAAAGTGTGTTGTTTCGTGACTTTACTGGTCTTTTGGAAAAACACACATTCTACATCCTCTCAACAACATCGCTCTGTTTAGGCAGTCGTCACAGCAACAGCATTAATACCGAGGAGGTAGGATGCAGAAACCTTTACTGCTGTCGGGAAAGGGAGAACAATGGTTAACAGCTCGAGTGTGGACGGCCTTAGGATTTACAGACCCATTAAAGTGAATGTCTGGCCTTCGCCCAAGGAGGTTTTTTTAAACAAGACGCACCCAAATGGTTGACCAATCCTTTCCATGGAGGCCTCCAAGACAGTGCTACGTGAATTATGTGTGACTCACGTTACCTAGTGACAAGAACACACACTCAGCATAGAAATACTGAGTGGGAACGCAAACACCGACTGGCTGAACAAATAGAGTCACTGTGGAAACAGGTGCTATCAGTGCTGCACTTTGGCCGTTCTTTCAAAATGCTGATTGATTGAAAATGACCAGTGGGCTGTAATGGTTTAATGTATGCTGGAGGGTTGTGTGATGGGGACCTGCTACATATGTGTTTGGTTTTGTGTCCTGTTTAGTGTTACGTTGGTGTGGAGTGTGGGGAGGAGGGAGGGAGGCGCGGTATCATTTGAGCCTTTGCACTCTGTGCATGTCAGCACTCACAGCTTCCAAAAAACGACAGTGAAATCCAGTCAAGAGTTCATAATTCTCAAATGATGGTGTAATGTTGGTTTCGGAGAAGGGGGAGATTATAGAGAGGATCACATTGCGAACTCCCCCCTCCTCTGAGGAGCTTCACTCAGCCATATTTGGATCCGCCCTGTTGCATATGTGCGTCTCCTCCACACTGTTATAATGACGAAGCCCTTCAGAAATGCCTGTAACTTATGCCACATTATGCTGTGATGGAACTTGTTTCCGCTCTTCCTGTACGAGGCACAGTACAAATGTTGAAGCTAATATACACAGCATGAGAAACCAGTGTGTCAACAAAGACAATATTATATACATCAAAAAACATAGACAAACATGGCATCTGAGGTTTGTCATCGTGACATCAAAATGAAAAGATTAAAATAACCGTTTTGCAGTAACTAAGGAAGATATTAACACTAGAAACATCAGTTAAACACCACCGCTCCCACTTAATTGGAAGGATTTCCTTCAATTTGTTCAGGAGCCTCTGGGTGTCATAATGAGTTGTCATCATGAACAAATTTCAGTTGACGATCTATATAATAGACAAGGGGATCAGAGGAAGACGTAAAAGAAGCCGACGTTGAGCAGCAGTTAGTTCATAATTTACAACATGACTAGACGGGCGGTCTACACGTGCCTCCACAAAAGAATATTCAGGGGAGCGGCTGCAGTTATTTCAGTATTTTATCCCAGTCGTGGCTGCCTGCCACCTAACGCCGGCCTGAGGGTAGCGGAGAGGGAGTTTAGACAGGAAAGGAAATTGCTCCTCACTTGAAGGCTTGAAATACCTGTTTGAAGACATACAGTTAAATTCATGTTTCGTTTACTGACGACCTTTTCTGTTTTCAGCTTCCTATTGAAACTGTTGAAACAACGGGGACTTTTGCACCTAACTACCTTCCTCCACTACCGTCCAGTACCTAAATCTGAAAGTCATAGTGTGCTTTTTATTTAGTGTATTGCGCTTTTTATTTTTCACAAATAAATAGCATTACTGTGTAAATGAAATAACATTTCAACAATTTGCAAAAAACTTGTGAAGATCATTAACTATCTAAGTACTATATAGTAAACATGAAGCTGCCAGTAGCCAGTTTGGGCTTGTTTTAGCACAAAGACGTTAAACAGGACATGGTTTGCTTACTGCTTCATTTTGTAACATAATTCTGATTAATTTTACTTAAGAAAGTCCACTTATCTGTGGGTTGGTTGTATTTACATAGACTTTTACCAAATCACAGTAAGCTTTCAAATCGGTAAAATGTTTAGTGGAGTAGAAGTCTTATCTGCAACGGTCAGATGTCGACACACCCGTATCAGCTGGAATGTCGAAGCAGCATTCTTCACCCGGCTGACGGGAGAAGTGTTAAGTTTGACACACACGCTGAGAGAAACGGCCAACCTCTTTGCTAAAGGTCTGAGACACAGTACGACATGTGAAAGTTTTCAGAGGCATAACAACAGTCGAGAGGTAGAAAGTGGAACAACGCCACATTCACTTCAGGGGCTTTCGGGCGCTGCCAAGCACGAGATAGCTGTGCCTTTTGTCCATTTTGTATGGCTTTCAGTTTGGTTCTCCTGTGAGTCCATTCCCTCCATAAAAACAAAGCATTGTGTATATTTTAATAAGAAAGCCTGCAGCTCTGGGTAGGAAACGCTGGATGGTAAAAGGTGAGATAAAACAGGCAGGGTTGGTTTGATGCACCACACCCTACGTAAAATTGCAAAATTGTGAAGACAGGATGGACTTACCTGGTCTAAACTTAGTAGCATTCTAAACACAACGCATGTTATCATGAAAGAGAGAGTTCATTATGAGAGTTTTGATGGTATTTTTTCTGTGGTACTTGAAAAGGAACTATACATTCACTTTTTAAAGCTGTTTCTACTGGATCATATCCCAGAATGCATTGGGTGTATACATATATTGTGTGTTTAAGAAATGCAGTCTTTTGAAATCCTCATTAATACGCAAAACCCAGAGGAAAATACCCAATGAAAGAACTGCTGATCAGATGTTTCGGCAGAGTGAGGCACATTTTCTGTACAAAACTGTTATGGACTGTAAAAACCATTTGAATCTTTTCCAAACCCTGCAAGTTTGTGTGAATGTTCCCAAAAGTGCCTTAAAAAGGCATAAACTTGATGTTCCGTATTTACTACTTGATGTTAGAAAGGTGCGAAGGCTCAGCAAGATACATTTATGAGCGATACAAAAGAATAACTACACAATAAGTTCAAACAAATGGGACAGAAATGTTCATTGCAATACAAATTGCCTCAGATTAATGAGCAGACAGAATATATGGGCTTTAGTTCATTTTGGCTACAGACTGGACTGGGCAACTCCCTTTTCATTTCAAACCTAATGCAATACTGCCACCAAGTGCTGGTTTCCTATATGAATCAGTTTGTTACAATAAACAAGAGACTCATTTGAGACAGAGTGGACTCCTTATCAAACCCATAGAAAAAGCACTGCACCCTATTAAATCAAAACCACGGGCATTGATCATGTATCAAATCAGCCAGAATACATGCAGGCGCTTTCCAAAATTAAGATCTGAATTATTTAAAGAGGTAGAAAAAAACACAAGCTTTAAAGATATATGTATTACTGCAATCATCTGAAGAATGAAAATGAACAATCACATGCTCAAAATTTCAAATAAGAACAGAATAAAACCACTTTTTGGACGTGTGTAATTTGTCGCTGGGTTTTAATTAAGATCGCACTCATAGTGCCCTGATGTCTGTCCTACACCTCAACACAACAAAGCTCAGGCCGTCACACTGACTGGAAGGAATTTTGCCCAAAGTAAAGCCAAACGTGTAGAGTGAAGAGTAAAATGCATTTTAATGGAGCAAAACATGTCTTTTGTTTGACTTTGGACAGCAGGGGGCGTGGTTTCTGAGAATTATTCAACGCGGAAGGAATGTGTCGTTTAGACGTCTGTGCTTTCTCCAAATCCAGGCGTTGTGTAGTTATTGAGTTGAGGATTGATTTTGTGTGCGGAAGAAAAACCACCGCGTGTGTAGGATTCATTAACTGGAGCACCTTTACTCTCGAGCCAGGAAACTGATAAGGGTTTTTGAGTCGCTGCTTTGTAGTTTTGTTTGTTCAATACACGTGACGATATGGACGCATTTCCTTTCCTTTCAATCATTTGCTCAATCATATGTTCAATATGTACTAAAACTGTATAATGATGATATGATTTTTTGTTAATGTTATCTTTTACTTTTAAACCCCCAATGTCAAATTAAGTTTAAGCTTATTCAATTTTATTTCAACTTTTTTTTTTATCATTTCAAACTCTACGGGAACCAAGATATCCAAATGTATTTCGCGAACTGTGAGTGACAACATGGTCTGTGCTGACTGCCATCTAGTGGGCAGTAGCAGTAATTGACTGTTCCTCGGCGAAAAAACGAATAGACTTTAAAATATACCTAAACTTTTTGTCTTTTGCTCACAAATCTGCAATTCTGTTTGTATAACGGTTTTACTTTCAGTGGCCGAGTGAGATTCTGGATCAAAATTTAAGCAACAATAGATACAATTTTGCCCTAGGAAGTACATTTCTATATGAATCAGACACATCAGACCCATTCATTTATTATCGCTTTAATTTTATACTGGAACCACAAGTACTTTAAAAGAAGGTTATACAGCGCTGTACATTTGGAGCAGTACTAACAGACTTGATGGTCAAATCTTCTCCCGTTAAATACTATTCATTTAAATGTCCTATATTCTTATAATTATACGATAAAAGCTTGTGTAACTGGTCCTGCAGCTTTTCTGATATGTCAATATCATTTTTGTTTGGACTGTTATTTCCTTGTAATTTTTTTTCCAAAAAAGGAAAATAAAAGTTATGATCAAAAACCATATGACAGGCAGAAACTGCCAGGCTGTAATCCTGTATGACTCCCAATTCACTCACACAATAGAGAGAAAGAGACAGAGAAAGGGAGAGGGGAGGGGGGGGAAGGAGATACAATTTTAATGTTCTGAAGGCTGGTCCGCGATGGAAATGGGCATCAGTTCATAGGGAGGTGCAAAGAAGCACAAGATATATTTTGCACTTTCTGCCACCTCGACTTTTACTCCGCCCAACCATTAACTCGCTCGAAGGCTCACTTCCATAGCTGTGTGCTGAGAGTCTGGCCGGATCCTGCGGCGGCCCATCCGCCCATAGCTGATGGAGGCTGACTGAAGGCCATCTGGCCACCTGCACCATTCAGAGTCAACCCTGACATCTGCTGGTTCACCTGGGGACGTTAGAGAGATCTATATCAACACCAGAGCA